TAGGGAATCAACAGGAGAGAGATGTTTCGTCGCAGTATGATACTGTTCAACAGCATCAATTTACGACTATGTATAAGTGAAAATCCGAAGTGTAGTATTATTCTTAGACAGTTTAATAGAAATTTGATTTAGTTAAATTAGTAGATGTATATTCTTAAGAAATTCTTTGAGTCTTTTAGTTATCATAGGGGAGATAGAGTTTTTCAGCGGTTAAGGTTTACTCGATGATCATCATAGGTTCTTAGCACTTCTCTCATTTAGTTGACTCAGTGTACACTCAGTTGATCAACTAGTCGCTTGAAACTACAATCCAACTAGTGCAAATGTTTGTTTTCGAAATTTAGCCGGTTTCTGTTTGACCAATACTCCTTCACAGCTTAATAAGTAGTATGATACTTCCTTCTTTAATGTAGTAAGCAACCATTATTACTAAAAGATACATGGATGTACAAAAATTTTGCTATTCTTACTGATTCCATATCAGAGATTTGTTTATTTGATTTACAACACATAGTGATACGGCATTATTTTCTTCACGACGATGTTTCGAGCATTATTCACTCATTACTCATAATCATATCTCAATGTAATCACACTCCAGTTTCGACATCTAATTTTTATAGTTATATCACCTTATATGAGTTGTTTTTATTGGTAGCAAAATTCCCCATATCTCTGGTATACGTATGTTGTGTCATTTCCATTACATATGTTGGGTGTTGGCTGATTCAACGAACAGTGATTCAGTAATCAATCTCCCTCTCTCTCCACTTAACTATATTGGACTTAAGTACAGTGGCTTTATCCCACCCACCCTATTGTGTGGTTGTGTGTTAATGTATGCATAGCAATAACCGAGTGCTTTTCTACATTATTGATCTTATTTAGGTCTGTTATTCTATATTTAGCTAAATTCCTATGTTGCACTAATGTAACTGACCCTGACCGACTAGCTTGACCTATGTACTTGACCTCACTCATAGTCATTACATGGAATTTGATAGATTAGATTATTTTGCTGAATTGGATGTATCCAACAGATCCTTAAAACAGCCGAAAAAGCGGAATACGCCCATTTGATCATAGGAAAAGACAAGACGTGGTTTCAGCGAAGAAAAATTTTTCTTTTCGATGAAGTCATCTACTGCTAAGCTGTACGTTCGTGAACATATGTTACAGTGGGTACAGTGTTATAGAATTGTTTCCAGTAAGGGGATAAAATATGTATTGAATAACTGAAGGTAGTTAATTAGTACACAATTGGGTTTAGAGTGGGAAAAATAAACAGAGGATAATGAAAATAGGATTATGATTACATAGGGGAGGTTAAATCTATGACAGAGTAGAAAAATGAATAAGGTATACATGTCTAGTTACCTGATACAGAATGAATCTTTGGCAAACGGGGCTTTATGATGGCCATGGCAAAGATAAAGGTTGGACGTATCTTATTTGCATTCATAATGCTGGTTTCAACTTCTCGATGTTTGTTGCTTCAGCTATAGACAGATGTCTTGATTTTACTCCCTTCGAGTGGTTTGATCGAACCCTGTAAATAATTTTGAATAAGCTCTCGAGAGGAGCTAAGTGGCCTGAGTTTACGAGGTGTTCCGTTGTCGAACTGAAGATACGGTTCCATCCTCCTTTTACCAGCAAACCAGGCTGGTTAGTGTTCGCGGACAGGCTTTACAGGCGAACGTATGGTACTGTCGATGTACTCAGGTCCACAAGAGCAAATAAGCTGGTCCCCTGTGTGTTCTCATCCAGTATTACATAACCGCAATTTTATCTTCACAACCCTTCTTTCAGTTTCCTACTTTGCCATACATTCATCCTGTATTACGTAATGACATTTAATTTCATAATTCTCTGTCTATTTTTCCCACTGTAAAACCTTTCGTCATTCAATACAAATCATGTTCGGACCAAATTGCAACGCTTCGCATCATCATAGAACAAAGTATAGAGTGGCAGTCAACTCCCTACCTCAACTTCATCGATTTTAAAAAGGCCTTCGACAGCGTCGAACGAGAGGTAATTTGGAAGCTGCTTCAACACTATGGAGTGCCATAAACATTTATCAACCTCATTCAACAACTATATGAAGACGCCACATGCAAAGTAGCTCACATTGGAAAGCTCAGTGATGCTTTTGAAGTGAAGACAGGAGTGAAACAAGGCTGTCTACTATCACCCATGATATTCCTGATTGTGGTGGACTGGATCATGCAACAAACAGTGTGGGGCGAGAAGAGGGAGATACACTGGACCGCGGAAAAGAACGTAGAAGATTTGGATTTCGCCTGTGATGACTTGTGCCTGATGTCACAGAAACTGGAAGATGTACAGGCGAAAACTAACAAGTTGACAGAAGAGGTGAGGCAAAGCAGCGAAGACGGGACTTCAGGTGAATATAGAGAAGACAGAGGTGATGAAGATACCTAACCAACACCATTACCATCAGCAACGAGCAACAGTCACCATCAATGGGAGAAACTTAAAGGAAATAGCCTCCTCCACCTTTCTAGGTAGCACATTCTCAACTACAGGAGGCACAGACGAGGATGTCAAAGTCAGAATCGGAAAAGCAAGACAGGCGTTCACTAACCTGAAAGCAGTGTGCAGATCTTCTGCACTCAGCATGTGGAACAAGAATCGCATTTTCAACACCTACGTCAAACCAGTGTGTCTGTATGGCTCAGAGACTTGGCGCGTTAAGAAAGGGATTTCCAGCAAACTACAGACATACATCAACAACTACCTACGTTGGCTCGATACTGAAGCTCAGATGGCCAGAATAGTAAGAATAAGCAACAAGGAACTAAGGTAACGAACCAACGAAGCAAGAACCTATCACCCAACAGACATGTAGAAGAAAGTGGAGATGGATTGAATTAGGCATACACTGAGAAGGCTGACTGGGGAAATCACGCGTAAGACTAGGCACTCGAGTGGAACCCCGATGGCAAACGACGAGTTGGGCGTCCCAGATGAGGGTGACATGGAGAAGATAGTGCGAGGAGGAAATGAAAGCTTCTGGGCTGTCGTGGAGCCAGATCGAAAAGACTTCAGTGAACGGAGCGCATTGGAGACGTGCTGCTGAAGCCCTGTGTTCCATTAGGAACCCAAGGGACAAATAATAAAACAAATAATTTCATTATTCAATATATATTTTTCCCCCTTACTGGAACATTCTACCCACTGTAATATGCATTCATGAATGTACAGCTTAGCAGTAGATGACTTTGTCAAAAAGAAAAATGTTTCTTCGCTGAAACCACAGCCGAAAAAGTTTATATCTGAGTGAATTTGTACGTTTAAATGCTATCCCAAGTAATTCTAGGTTCGCTGAGGATCGTATGCAAAGTTTTTGATGTGCTTTCCTTATAGGGTAAGACAATGGAGGCTGTGAACTTCTTTCTACTTGTGTTGTCAGTATTATTCTTACGAAATTCTTAATAAACTGTAGAGGATAATTACCAGCTATTAGTGTTCCTTTTACGTGTTTCACCTCTTTGTTTAAGTCTTTGTACTGACTAGTTAGTTTTCTAGCTGTATAGTTGACACATTCGACTAAATCTGTCTTCATTGACTGATTGATATTCGATGAGATGACTTGAAGTGTAGATACGAGTTGGAATGTGTAGGTTTCCTGTAGGTGGTAGTATCCAAACGATCGTTAGTAATTCGTCCTATCTTGTAATTCAATATAGGCAATTCTCCTTGTTCATTTTCTACCTACTCGTAAGTGAAATAGATTGCGTCTACTACTGAGTTTATATGTTTGAGGAAAGTGTTGATATGCTCCGATTTCAACACAGTAGTGAATGTGTCATCCATATATCGCGACGATACTCTTGGTCCACGACTCAACGTTTGTAACGCCTTGTTTTCCTAACTATCCATAAATGGATCTGCTACCATTGGGGATATTGGTGATCCCATTGCTACTCCTTCTGTTTGTCTGTATATATTTTCTCCTGAAACTTGAAGACTGTGGAGGTCAGACGGAACTGTACGCTTAATATGATCTCATCAACAGATCCCTTTCCTTCTATGAGTGAAAAATTAAAATCATAAATCTAATATGAAATTTTATTCTACTACACTGATCAGCTAACAAGTTGGCAGAAGAGGCAGGGCAGCGAAGACTGGACTACCTTTAAGTGAACGTCGAGAAGACAAAGGTGATGAAGATACCCAACCAACACCACAAACGACAACAACAAGCTCCAATCACCACCAATGGGAGAAATTTAAAGGAAGTAGCCTCTTTCACTTATACCTATCTAGGCAGCACTATTTCAACAACAGGCGGCACAGACACAGACGAGGAAGTCAGAGCCACACAGGATCGGAAAGACAGCATGACAGGCGTTCATTAACCTGAAACCAGTATGGAGATCTTCTGCACTGCACTTCACTTAGCATAAAGCGTGAACAAGATCCGGATTTTCAACACCAATTCAGTCAAGTCAATGCTGCTATATGGTTGAGAGACTTGGTGCTTTACAAAAAGCATTTTCAACAAACTACAGATATTCATCAACAGCTGCAGTCTACGCTGGCTCGTTACTGAAGATCAGATGGCCAGAATAATAATAATAAGCAACAAAGAACTCTGGCAACGAACCAACTAAGAACCTATCACTGAACAAATATGCAGTGGAAGGAAGTGGAGATGGATTGGGCATAGACTGAGAATGCCGACTGGAAACATCACGCTTTCGGCCAGGCCAGTTGCTGGAATGGAACCCAGATGGAAAGCCATGATTTGGGCATCCGAGGTGAGGGTGGCATGGAGGAGATCGTATGAGGAAGAAATGAGAGCTTGTGGGGAGTTGTGGGGCGGGGTTCAAAAGATTGGAGAAAAAAGAGTGTACTGGAGCCCTATGTTCCATTAGGAACCTAAGAGACAAATAATAATAATAGACTGATAAAGTTTTACACTTACATTAATTCTTATATGCAAATGAAAATCTTAACATTAAAAACTGTAGAAAATTCATGATTTGACAAATTATCGTGATATTTTAATTGTATGCTGTGAACGTATCATTCAACTGCCTGATGTTTATCATCAAAGTTTAATTGAATTGATCAAATTATGCGGGAATCCATTTGTAAAGTATGCCAGTTCAGATGAAGTGAATTATTTCAATTCAGCTGTTGATTTCATGAATCATTTTGGTATGTTCAAGACAATATTATCTATCATATTCTCTATTTATAAAAGGATATCTTCTATATGTGAAAGATGAAGAGATCTGTTTGGCTATTTGTTATGCATTAGAAAAATTCTATTTGATGCAGGAACCATTGATTCATATACCTGAAGGTAAGTAACTCAAATATATTTACTTGTAAACTCATGGTTGTATTGATTAGTCACGGGAGTGCAACCAATTTCACGTCGTCTAGTCCTGAGTTCAGATAGAATTCTATCGATCATGAAATTGGTTGCACTCCCGTCACCAATCAATACATGTAAGCCAGTCCTACAGAAGGTCAGTCGCTGCCGAATAGGTCAGTGGTAAAGTCTCTGACTACAACACTGGGTGACGCGGATTCGAATCTCAGGCGGGACATCAGTTCCGTCGAGGTTGCAGATACGCCTTGCTGACGAGTGCCAAAAAGCACGAAACCTAGGTCCAGGGCTTCCTGCCGATTGCTTCCAACTAATAAACTCATGGTTATTTGAAAGATAATTAGTCAAGCCATAGGCTGCAGACCAAAAATATCAACAAGCTATGAGTACACTGAGGTCTGTCTCTACACTATGGAAATGATCATCATTTCTAGTGACTGATTACATCACTTAGACTAGACTCTGACGTGTCAGAGTCGTACAATCAGATTTATCTAAATCGTACTCTATAATCACTTCATATTGTTATTTGACATGTAAATTACAGTGTGTACTATTCACACTTCATAGGATACTTATAGAATATTCTATGTCTCCATAGTTCAAACTGGAAGCGTACTTCAGAAGTCGGAAGATTGACTGATCAGTAATATATATTATGATTATACCTAGTGGAATATAAGGCTTCAGTAGCACGCCTCCATCCCACTCTGTTCTCTGAAGTATTTTGGACCTACCCTCATGACTGCCCACAAGCTCTCATTTCTTCCTCATACTATCTTCTCTATGTCACCCTAGCCTCAGAAGCCCAACTCGTCGTTTCCCATCTGGGTTCCACTCGAGCAACTGGACTGACGCCTGAATCCGCAATCAGTTTTCTCAGTCTATGTCCAATCCATCTTCACTTCCTTCTGCATATTTGTTAGTCCATTGCCAGCTGCAGTTCCTTGTTCCTTATTCTTCCTGGTCATCTGAGCCTCAGTATCGAGTGAGTGAAGGCAGTTGTTGATGAATGTCTGTAGTTTATTGGAAATGCTTTTCGTAACATTCCAAGTCTCTGAAGTGTTTCTAGTGGTTGGATTGGTTTTACGGGGTAGGGGTGTAAGCTCTATGCCCAACCTTCCCTGTTTATCCGGGCTTAGGACCGGCTAGTAACTAGTGAGGTAGTCAACCAGGCGAGGTTCAGTAATATATAAATACAGCTTAAATATCTTAAAATCTCTTTAAAGTTTTGCCTATAGTCTTAAGATTGAATGGTTACTGTTAAGCCTTTTCAATAGGTAAGAATGTCCATTGTAACTATTACATCAATCGTTTTGAAATAGCCATTCACACTGAAGATGTGAATTTCTTTCCCAAGAAATTCAAAACCAAAGCAAACAAGCAACTTTTCAACAGTAAACCAACCAAACCTTCGAGTTATGCATAAAATCCAATTTTTCTGAAATAGACTTGTATATTAACTGACGAAATATACCCATTTATTCATGAATCAGAACAAGACGTGTATCAGCGAAGATGAAGCGTTTCATTTCAACGATTTCACTATCAAGTTGTACAGTTGTATTTATACTCGGTAAAATGACAGATAGTTGCTCAGTCAATATACAAAATATACAATCGATGTAGGCGGTGGTATTTGTTCAAGTGGAAGAAATAGAAAATAGGTTACTGAATAATAAGCAACGAATTGATAACAAGTGGTGAGATAAGAGACAAGTGTTGTCGAGGGATTGTAAAACGGTGATAATTAATCTGAACCATGCAAAATAGGTCAATGAATAAGGAGTGACGAATTGATATTAAATAGTGAAATATGGGTCAAATGTTGTCAGTGAAGTTTAAATTGGTGATAATGATGATGATAATCAAAGAGAAGTGTACCAAAGTGAAGTGAAATGAAATTGACAAGATAACCAACAAGAAATAGTTAAGGCCGAGGTAGAGAGAATGGTTTCACAAAACGTTTTTGAAGGTGAAGTTTCGGTTTCTGTTCATGTATAGCTCATGCTTCAGCTATGAACAAGTGGTGGAAGCGTTAACTTTACTCGCCTTTGGTAAGCCAAACCGGGTTAATGTTTTGGCAACACGTTTTCGGAGGGCCCACTTACAACGTCCAATATAGTCAGCTCCATAGGAGCATGTGAACTTGTAGATGTGAACATAAGTGGAAGCCTATCCTTCACACATTGACGAATCAGACGGTGGCTGGAGAATATCAATCTCAGTCTAGCAGCATAGAACCTACTATTGATACACCTTGACAGACGATTTTTCAGCACCAGCTGTGGTGTCTCCTTTGAATTCTAGATTAATGGTTAAAATTTTCTTAGGGACTGTAATGGCATGGGGAGTGGTTCATTTCTTCAGATTAGTATCAATGAATCTTTTGAGGGTATCTGTTATTAGATAGTATTATTCTAAGAGTTTCGAATTCAGTATCCACCATATCTTCAGAGTATATTCTATAGATTCTGGAACACAGTGAGTGAATGAGATTTCTCTTACAACCAAGAGGTACCCAACTATAAAAGTTAGTGAACTGATCGGTCCAAGTTGGTTTTTGATAGACTGACGTTTGAATCGAGCCATCATCCCTTCTCTTTAACTTTACGTCTAAAAAGTGGAACAATGAGTTTAACTCTTCTTCTACAGTGAATTTAATGGACGGGTGACAATCATTGAAACGTCTTAACAGCTCGTTCACTGAACATGTTTCGTCGCAAATAAGAAAAGTGTCTTCCGTGTACCTTTTTATATAAATAAAGTTCCGAAATCATTTCTTTAAGGGGCCCGTTTTCAAGCTTTGCCATGACAAGCCATGACAAGGCCTAATGAGACCCCATTGCAATGCCATCCGTCTATTATAAATTATATCACTGAATCTAAACTGTACATTAAAAGTACATGTTAGTATCAGTTCATTCAGGTGGCTTGTATCTAATCCAATGTTAATATGGTTAGAATCAATGTAATCACATAGATAACAAACGGTTTCAACAAGTGGAACATTGGTAAATAAAGACGAACATTAAGCGATATCATACGCTTACCCATTACGTTGATTTTCCCGATGCAGCGAACAGAACCGAATGTATCGGGAAGACTATATTCGGATAGATTTGATCTCATCGGTTCAAGCATTTTTGCAAGCCACTTTGCCAATGAGTGATAAGTTGAATTAAGAATATCCAGTACTGGGCTAAGGGAAAGACCATCTTTATGCACCTTCAGGAGACTACATAAACGAGGCATGTTTGAACCAGATGGTTTAAGCAGCTCATACATATCTGGGGTAATTAAAGATTCTTCTTTCAATTTTCTTAAGATTTTCGATACTTGATTTTCAACATCTGTTCTATCCTTCTAATCCCTGGATTTTAGAAATTTATTATCATAACTGACAGTTAGGCATAGTTTATCAGTATAATCCGACCGATCCAAAAACATGCTACCAGATCCTTTGTCTGGGTGTACAAGTATAATATCCTTATTATTTAGTAGCTCTTTCAACTGTGCTTTGTGCTCTTTGTAAATAATACCTCGTTATCGACATAGTGTTTTCAAATATCGATAGCAACAATGTAATAATAATATTCATAAAGAATATTGAGCAGTAAAGTATAAACCTTAAATTGTGAAGTATCTGAGGGTCTATCGCTTTTAAAGCACTTTGCAAAGACTACGTGAACAGTAAAAACGGTAAAAAACTGTATCCAAGCCACCGGAAGGGTATATAAAGGACGCGTGTTACTTCTCATGATGATGTAAAGACGCAAGATAAACAAATGTTCAAGGTATAATGGATCGTTAGGGAACAAAAAAATAAATTACAAGAGCATCATGAATTATGAAAGATGCTTATCTCTATGGATGTTAAATGGTGGACATGATAAAATCTGACAGAATAAACAGTCAAGACTGCGACTGAAGACAAATTATATAGGTAAATGACTATACTACTTAAAAATACTTAGTAGTATAAAACTTAAAATGAAAAAGGCGGGAAAAGTAACGTCACATTGAGTAAACGAGAACAAGAAAGAAATTAGAAGAATTCCAACTTTTATTAACTTTCTGCATGTTCTATCAGTATAAATGATTAACATTCACTAGTATTCAAAACAACACTAATTTTAACGTCTCATTCTTAACTTAGACTTTTATATTCTAACACTACAGTCAAATCTTTAGACCCTAATTGGGTGCTGTAAAAGTGTTTTCTCTCCAGGCGCATCCTGATTGGCCGCCTCAAGGTCGTTTGAAGGTTGGTTTACCTTACCTCTGAAGTATGCCAATATCTTTATAGATTAGGTCATGGTGACGAGACATTCGGAGTGAATTTAGCCAGATAAATCCAAAAGGATATCATAGTGCATTACCTAAACACTATTATACAAGACTTTAGTCTAAGGAGGTACACAATCACTCACTGGGATGCAATCAAATTCAGGTGATGGGTCCTAAATACGATGAAGCGGGCCACCTACAAGCAAATAAAACTGACTTATTTTTTGCCATGAAAGTTTTCTTTCAGTAAGATATCCATAGAAAGGTTAACCCATGTACAAACATCGCAATCAAATTAAGATTTGTACTGGATGATTGAAGATGAGATGAAAATCTAAACCACTGCCGGATTCGAACCAGAGGCCATCGGGTTAAGATTTGATTGTATGAAAAACTTGGACATTTACTAAACAATGACACTGGATGTAGGTGGCTCTTTTTCATGAACTGACAGAAATATGAACCGTTGGATTGCAACCCACTGGCTCAAAGAAAACGTGGTGGCCAAGGAACCTGAAGGCCCTGGGTTCGACCCCTCATGATGAGTGCGTAATACCAATGAATGAATCAGGTGTCCAATGTTCCACCATATAGTGTCATTTCATAACAAATTCCAATCTAAAACAAAAGAAAACTGTTTAAACCGACATTTCCCTATTGTTTGCTAGTGATATGTAGTGACAAAAGGTAGCCAGTAGGGGAGTTGTTTTCAAGTCATGATCAGATCATGATTTATGCATGTGCTGACATGAGAACGTGATCGGAGAAATTCGACCTCATAGAAACAAATCTGATTGGTTCATTTATGGCTTCACTTTCTGAGAGTTTTGTAAATACATATATGTCATATATTTGCCTGATAACAGTTGTAGTTGTTCTTGCGGTCACAGATGGTCTTTGTCTTCTGGTTTTTAGCGGCTCAGTGAAGCAAAAGATACTGATGGAGATCAGTCGTAAAAGTATTCGGTTGAGGTGTGTGTTGAGTCTCAGTATCATTATACCCAGGCCTGTAGCCCCACTCAGTCACAACAGCTAGTAGCTTTATCAAAGTTGTATTGAATCGGAATTTGAATCAGTCGAAACAGGCTGTTTGTTAACGAAAACTTTTAAACTTTCATTATCTTTGACACCAGTGAGATATACTGCTGACAAAAGTAGAAGGCATGAAACGATTACAAGTTTGTTACAGTACTTGTCTTCATAGTATTATCGGGGTATGGTGTAAAAGTTAAGCAAGTCGGTTGATAAGGTTGTGAACCTCAAGTGACTTGGACATATACTATAAATGTCGAGCTACGCATACCTCAACTTAGAATGCTAGCACAAGTTGGATAAGGTTGATAGATAACTCAAAGTGGTTGGACTGAGATGCAACTCCAGTGTATAAAGTCTCTGAGTGTTGATGTGAGTAGTATAGGGAGGTGTTTACTACTTAGCTGAAGTCCCTGAGACGAAAAGAATCTATAACTGAGGACTCTTGATGAAATCTCTAGTGTATTTACTTTTTGACACCTAAGACTCGTTTATGCTTATGCGTGCAACACTACGCATAACTATAGAATAGAGTATAGAATGGTAGTCAACACTCTACCTCAACGTCATCGATTTTGAAAAGGCCTTCGACAGCGTCGACCGTGAAGTAATTTGGTAGGTGATTCAACACTACGGTTTTTGTGACACAAATCTTTATCAACCTCATTCAACGACAGCTACATGCCATGCCACATGATGAGGGTACATGCCAAATGATTGACAATGGAAAGCCCAGTCATGCCTTTGAAGTGAAGTGAAGTGGAGTGAAGTGAAGAGAGACTGCAGTGTAGGAAAGGGTTGCCACCCACTATGACCAATCACATTGCTGATTGTGATCGACTCGACTGGGCTGGATCATGCAAGCGACAACTGTGAGGAGCTGTGAGGAGATGAGTATAGGCTGGTTGTTTGATCGATGAAAAGACCCTTGAAGATTTCGATTTCGCTGATGATTAATGATGCTTAATGTCTTATGTGGCAGGAACTGGAAGATGTGTAACAGGCGAAAACTAAGAAGTTGGCAGAAGAGGCGAGTTGGCGTAGGGAATACAGAACTTCCTTCAAGTGAGCATGAGAAGAGAGAGATGATGAAGATACCCAGCCAACAACAGCATCAACAACAAGCACCAATCACTATCAGTCGGAGAAATACGAAGGAAGTAGTCTGTTTCACTCACCTACCTTGGCAGGCAGCATCGTTTCTGCTACGGACAACGGCACAGATGAGGATGTCAAAACCAGGATCGGAAAAGCAAGACAGGCGTTATTCCATTAATTTGAGATCAATGTGGAGATCTGCTGTACTCAACACAAAGCTTGAACAAGATCCGGATTTTCAACACCATTTCAATCAAGTCAGCTTTGCTATATGGTTGAGAAATTTGGTGTGTCACGAAAAGCGGCACTTCCAACAAACTACAGCCATTCATCAACAGTGGAGATCCACTGCACTCCACTCAGCACAAATAACAAAATCCGGATTGTTAACACCAGTTCAGTCAAGTCAGTGCTGCCATATGGTTGAGAAAGCTGGGGTGTCATGAAAAGCGGCACTTCCAACAAACTACAGCCATTCATCAACAGTTACCACCTACGCTCACTCGATACTGAATATGGAGATGAGGTGGCCAGAATAATAAGAATAAACAAGGAGGAACTCTGCGAACTAACCAACGGAGTAAGAATCTATCACCCAGAAAATATGCAGAAGAAAGTGGAGATGGATTGGGTATAAAGTGAGAAGACTGACTGGGGACATCACACGCTATGCCAAGCGATCGAGTGGAACCCAGATGGGAAGTGACGAGTTGGGCGTTGGAGGTAAGGGTGACATGGAGGAGATCTTGTGAGGAAGAAATGAAAGCTTGTGAGGAGTCATGGAGCCAGGTTGAAAAGACTACAGAGAAGAGAGTCAAATGGAGGCGTGTTACTGAATCGCTATGTTCCCTTAGGAAACTCAAGGAAAAGTAATAATAGTAATAAGTGATTAAAGTAGTTAAACTGTCAGCTGAATAACTGAAAGTTGATCTATCCATCTCAATTCTTTTATTCAATGTTTGTTTGTTTTCTCCCCGATAGAATCAACGATACGGTATACTTCAAAAAAGTTTAATCAAAATATTATACATCATAGTGATATTATTGAATGTTTACTAAAGGTAAGAAAATATTTCACTTTTTCATACCAAAATTTTTCATTTCCATTAATTAATTAGAGTTATTGTGAAACTGATAAGACTGATGTCATTCGTTTAACACTTCTCAAACTGATGGAAAGATTAACGAAACATTCAGGTAATTTATAAAAAGGATAATTCAAATAATAGTAAGAATAATAATAATATTTCAAGCTGTTATTCATCGTAGACTAACATCAGTTGGAGGAATGAAGGGAACCTGGGAGCACTGGACAGCTGTTTCATCCGACTCGTATGGGAGTCCTCAGCAATGCGCACCCACGACCCCACCCCGCCAGGGATCGAACCCATGCCCTTCAGGTTCCGTGGCCAGCACGTTACTATTGAGCCAATGACCACGGAACCTGAAGGGCATGGGTTCGATCCCTGGCGGGGTGGGGTCGTGGGTGCGCATTGCTGAGGACTCCCATACGAGTCGGATGAAACAGCTGTCCAGTGCTCCCAGGTTCCCTTTATTCCTCCAACTGATGTTAGTCTACGATGAATAACAACTTGAAATATTTACAAATCCCCACAACTCCCTCAACATTCAATAATAATAATAATAACTATCTTTTTTTCAATTCCTCCATGAAAAAAATTTTCTTCTCGTTGAAAAATTAAAAAAAACAAGAATTTTGTTCAAATAGAATCATTACAAAATTAGGCGGTCAAATTATCTGTGAGCGAATATCATTACCAATTTCATCTAATGAATTACTCTCTTGGTCTATATCAATTCTATGGAATTTAATTGATAATACTACGAGTGAAAAAATGAAAATTGAATGGACTATACAACTTGGAAGTGAAGTAAGCCATCTTATCTATATTGATGTCATATAGTTTTAAACGATAATTATTATAATATTATTATTTGTCCCTTGGGTTTCTAGTGGAACATTTGGCTTCAATAGCACGTCACCATTTCACCCTCTTCTCTCTGGTCTTCTCAACTTGACTTCATCACTGCTCAGAAACTTTCATTTCTTCCTTCATATCATCTTTCGACGCCAAACTCGTCGTTTTCCCTTTGAGTTCCACTCGAGAGACTGATCTGGTGCATGGTGTCCGCAAATGGTCTTCTCAATGCATGTCAAACCCAATCCATTATCCACTTTCTTCTTCTGCATATTTACTGGATGAAAGATTCTTGGTTGGTTGGTTTGTTACCAGCCAGAGTTCCTTGTTCCTTATTCTTTCTACCCGTCTAAGCTTCAGTAACGAGAGTAGGCAGTTGTTGATGAATATCTGTAGTTTGTTGGAAATCCCTTTCGTAACGCGCCAAGTCTCTCAACCATCATATAGAAGCACTGACTTACTTGACTGAATTGATGTTGAAAATCCTGATGTTGTTCACGATTTATGCTGAATACAGTGCAGTAGATCGCCACACTGGTTTCAGATTAGTGGAAGCCTGTCTTGCTGTCTTCCCGATCCTGGCTTTGACGTCCTACTCTGCGCCGCCTGGAGTTGAAACGGTGCTGCCTAGGTAGGTAAAAGAGACTGCTTCGTTTAGATTCCTCCTTCTGATGGTGATTGGTGCATGTTGTTGTTGGTGGAGTTGGTTGGGTATCATCATCACTTCTGTCTTCTCTACGTTCACTTGAAGGTGGTCCCGTCTTCGCTGCCCTGCCTCGCCTCTTCTGTTAACTTGCTAGTTTTCGCCTGTAGTTCATCGAGTTTGTGCTACATTAGACACAAGTCATAGGAGAAATCCAAATCTCCTAGAATCTTTTCCCTCAAATCTTGCTCCTCACTGTGTGCTGCATGATCCAGTCGACCACAATCAGGAATATCATAGGTGATAGTAGACAGCCTTGTCTTGATCAGTAATTTTAAACGCTAACAGATAAAATAATTCCTTGTAGAATGTTATTTACTGATTAATTTAGGAGGTTTCTAGGGATTTATCGTGGATAATGACTGAATGGTAACGTGCTCGACAAAAAAACCTCAGGAGGTTGGATTAGACCCCAGGTGGGGTCATACATGCGCACTCTTGAGAAGTCCCATATCAAGATAAAACAACTGCTAGATACTCACCGGTTTTCAATGATTATCCAATTGATATCAGTTCATGATAGATACCAGCTTGAATTTGTACTGACAAGTAGGTTTGGGCTTGTAAGCCTAATCGATCGACCAATACTTACCCACGGGTTCCTGCATGGATGCCTCAATGTTGTCGGTATTTTCACTTCTTGACAGTTTGAATTTTAGTGAGGACAGCATCACCGACTAGGGGTAGGGGCATATACATACAGATGCTAGTCACTGTCTTTCGTTACTACTAAACACAAAATTTCAGTTACTGAGTGTCATATGGTTTCGAGTGTTTCTTGGATTGAAAGGGTGAAGATCATTTCGTATTGTCTTATCAACTGACTGCTGGTACAAAATTCTTCCATTTACTCAGTAACACTGAACCATTTAACTTGAGTGTCACCTTGCTTGAGATTATCTAACATGAAAGTCTCTTCTCTTTAAGCCAGCTGATTGACTGAATATTTCTCGAATCTGCTAGAATCAAAAACTGTTTTCAGATTTCCGCTAATATCTGTGATCGATATGAGTAGTACTGACTTGTTGAATTAGTCATCAAGTATATGATGTTCGTCGAAAGTGAAGTTTAGCTGCGTTGATGCTATTGGCTGTGTCTACTGTCGAAAACGAGTAGTCTGACTTTATACTGTGACTATTTTACTTCTCAACCTTGTCTAGTTTACTAGCCGGTTTTAAGCCCATGTAAAAAGGGAAGGTTGGGCGTAGGGCTAGCAACCCTATACCGTAAAACCAGTTTAGTTACTAAAGAAACTTCAAAACACAAAGAAAATTTAAAAAATAAACTTATCCCTTGCTGTAATAGGAAAAACGAAATGATAGCGGTTGGTGAAAGCCTTCGGGAAGCCAAATGGCCGATCTGTCTTCTCTTCTCTTGATGAAAGCGAGAGTAAGGATGGCGACATGGAATGTCCAAACAATGTTCGAAGCTGGTTAACTGACTGGCAAGGCTGCCCTGATTGCAAAAGAAATGAGAATACATGGCGTAGAAGTGCTACGAATCTGCGAAAGCAGACAGAATGGAAGTGGACTCTCCAAACTATCAACTAGAGAGTCAATAATCTGCTGCAATGTTGTCAGCCAGGCGACAACCACCAGCACACTGAGTTTAAGAGTGGCTACCATGATGACTTTTAAAACATCGAAGGATCTCATACAGTGGGAGCCAATCTCCTCCTGCAGGATCATGACAGCAAGACTCAACTCAGAAGGAAGGAAAGTCGCAATCACATAATGTTGCGCTGCGCACCTACAAATAATCCAAATCGAGAGAAGGGGGAATTCTACAGACAACTGCAATCAGTAATGGACAAGACCCTACCCCAGTTGGCGACATCAAAATTCTAATGGGCGACATGAATTCTAAACTGGGAGCGGACAACACAGGAAGAGGACTTATCATGTGTCAGGAAGCGCTCAGTGAAATGAGTGAGAATGGTGGACTGTTTGTAGACTTATGCGCCTTCACCGATTTGATGATTGGAGGTAGTGTGTACAAACACAAGGATATTCACAAGGTGACATGGAATTCACCGGATGGACACACTACACTAGAAATCAGATCGACTTCACTCAATGTGAAGAAAGGGGAGACGCAGTCAGCTTACTGGACACGAGATCAGATCAAGAAGGGGAGCAGATGTATGTTCAGACCACTTATTATCTACTGCAAGGAACCTACCTTCAAATCAAGTTGAAAGCCTTCAAAAATATGGGTGAAAGACCGTAGTTGATGTTCAACATCCAGAAACTGAAGGACGAGTGATCTCTTTGGATAACCAACTGGCTGAATGTTAAAAACTGATGTTGAAGAAAAATGTTCAATCTTTCATCTTGATTCTAGACCGCAGTGTATGGGACTCCTCAGGAATGCATATCCATGACTGTACGATCAAACTCAGGACATCTAGTTTCCGCGGCGAGGACGTTTTTATTGAGACTCTGCGTTGAAATCAAATGGTTCCCATCTTTATATCTCTGTCCGTTTGCGATATAGCGCAACATTCACTCAATGGTGTTGTTGTGTATCTGTTTTCAAGTTCGACCTCTAAAATAGAATTAACATCTGAATTTGAAGATTTGTAAGGGATTTGATTGATGTCAGTCCATAATGAATATTGTCCAGAATCGACACTTTGTTAAATTATGACACGTATCAAGTCATTTGACTTGCATCCAACAAATAAGACTACGGAAAGGTACTCCATTTATTTAATTGAATATAGACTTTCGACTTAAGACCGTCATCATTCAGAGAATGACATTGAATTGTTGAGTTCCTTTCCTTTGAGATTCGCAATTAGTACGCATACTCTATTGCTCTCGGGACTGAAGATACAACCTTCAGGTATCGCTGTAAGCTTATAAACAATCAGTAATTGTTCTAGATCTCACATGCCTATTGTTTTAAAAAGTTTTCCGTCCGTTAACAATGTGTTACACTATTGTCAAGCATCTTTGTTGGCTAATTGTTACGACTGTAAACTTGTTTAACTTTTAATATATACACGCATTGGTTATATGTACAAGGATGTAATGAGATAAACATTTCACTGTGAAGATGAAATAAAACCTAGTAAGGGGAACAATATCACTCGGCATTGTGGTGAATACACATCCAGCTGACGAGTCACAAGTAAGACGAAACGAGCATCCTGGATTCCTCTACTAGTCATCAAGATCAATATAACATCATGAATATCCAGCGGTATCAAGGCATCCGCATGGGAGCTTATCTGCCAACAGAGGTCGAGCAATTCGGCCCTGTATAGCATATATATACCTATATGTACACCAGTACATGCATGTATATGCAATGACGTATAGGTATACATGCATATATATATATATATATATATATATATATATATATATATGCGTGACATATGTGCATATGCAAGTATGTATGTGTATATATATGTACGTATCCCATCAGTATGCATACAGCGTGTAAATTTATCCATCTGGTGATGAATTCGGATGTATTCCGCACAGCAATAGAAAATCTCAGGTATCATTACAAAAACAAAACCCACTTTTTTCTCTTAATATCCACTTAACTCTAAATATCTAAGATTGAACAAATATCCTTACTGTTTTGGATCATTAGGCTTTGTGGTCATAGTTTCAATGTAATCGAAGCTAAACTGATCATATGATTAGTTTATGCATTACTACTGACAAGTGAATAAACTCACTTTAATCGATCAAGTTTGTTAATTTTGTATTGTCCAACTATACTAATCATGCGCGGATCAAATTGCAACGCTACGCATCATCATAGAATAGAGTATAGAATGGTAGTCAACACTCTACCTCAACGTCATCGATTTTGAAAAGGCCTTCGACAGCGTCGACCGTGAAGTAATTTGGTAGGTGATTCAACACTACGGTTTTTGTGACACAAACCTTTATCAACCTCATTCAACGACAGCTACACGCTATGCCAAATGATGAGGGTACATGCCAAATGATTGACAATGGAAAGCCCAGTGATGCCTTTGAAGTGAAGTGAAGTGAAGTGAAGAGAGACTGAGGTGTAGGAAAAGGTTGCCACCCACTATGACCAATCATATTGCTGATTGTGATCGACTCGACTGGGCTGGATCATGCAAGCGACATCTGTGAGGAGCTGTGAGGAGCTGAGTATAGGCTGGTTGTTTGATCGATGAAAAGACCCTTGAAGATTTCGATTTCGCTGATGATTAATGATGCTTAATGTCTTATGTGGCAGGAACTGGAAGATGTGT